AATGTCTGAATGAAACTGACTTCTACTCTCGGTACGTGTAAGGACATAAAGAAGTTTCCAGTGGTTTGGAGGACATGAATTCAAAGGACTTTCAGGGATATTAGGATGCTTGAATAGAGTTTAAGGGACTTTTAGGGACACGATTTGCAGGGAGTTGTTGGTACATCAAGACGTTTCTTGCCATGAAGAACATGAAGGGATTTGAAGGGTGATGGAGAGACTTATGAAGACATGAAGAAACTTTGTCCACTCCTGCGCCAGACCTTTCCATCAAGGAAATGACAAGAACTGACTCGCTTTCTTGTGTCTCTCCACAGGCAGACTGATTGTAACCATCTGGGTGATCGTGTCGCCGACAAACTCCAAACAGAAATATACGCTAAAGGTATACAGCGAAACCCGATATATTGTCATAGAGAGGCCATATTTCAAAACAAATCAACATTTCAAAATACGCTTTTTACACAAATCTAAAACCAAAGTCAATTTTCTATCCAACAGTGCACGTGTGATGTTAGGAAGCAGTCGATCGGAGCCCAAGATATTGCTTAAATCGCAGATTTTCGCGACATATCGTTGCCGCGGTAGACGAACTGCAATATAATGAGTGCAGTCGGTACTTTTTTTTTTTTACTTCAACAACTCACCTGAAAGATATACTTTTGCGTGCACAGGTGAGCCACGATAGCCTTCCCGAGCAGCTGATAGCAGAGTCCATCAGGAAGAAGAGCAGGTCCATGCACCTTTCCCCTCAGCAGCTCCGCCTCTGCGTACAAGAGTACCAGGGCCAGTACATCCTCAAGGTAGACCCGGATTTCAACATTTACCGTGGCCGTCTGACTCACACACACACACTATCTCCTCAGGTGTGTGGCTGTGACGAGTACCTGTTGGAAAAGTATCCACTCAGTCAGTACAAGGTAACAGCTTTCACGGATAGGTCCTCCCACTCCGATAGAAAGCCGTTTGAACGTTTATTTGAAATCGTATACCACAAAAAAAAAAATTAAAAAATACAAACCTCACTTGTGACTTGTGTCTTCCCGCAGTACATCCGCTCCTGTATCATCGTAGGTCGTCTTCCTCACCTCATGCTGGTCTCCAAGGACAGTCTTTACTGTCAACTTCCCGCCTCCAGCTTCGTCACTCCTTCCTACAGGTAAGCCTAGCGCTCAAACGTAGAACCTATCAGGGGTCGAGGACTTATTTGCGTTTCAGTCGCCGGACCCCGCAGCCATCTCCCTGTCCCGGAGGGACCGACGGGTCTCCGCCACGCTCGCTGTGGGCCTTCAACAGCCGGCTGAGGGTCCGACTGCTCTGCGCCACCTACGTCAACGTCAACATCCGAGACATTGACAAGGTTCGCCTGCATGTCTTTGTCCCGCGCCGTCTTTGTCTGACTCTGTCTAACGCTGTGTGTAGATCTACGTAAGAACGGGGATTTATCATGGAGGAGAGCCGCTGTGTGACAATGTCAACACGCAAAGAGTCCCATGCTCGAACCCGAGGTAACATAGCGACCAGTGACTTTTAATAATTCCTTTTTTTTCCCTGCAACTACGAGTTTAAACAGTATTTCTACTTTTATCTCTTTTTTTTTCTTTTAAACTAGTATCCATACTCCTACTTAAAATCACCATATCACCTCTTCTGCATAACACGTAGATGGAACGAATGGCTGACCTATGACATCTACCTGGCCGACCTGCCCCGCTCAGCCCGACTCTGCCTGTCTATCTGCTCTGTGAAGGGAAGGAAAGGAGCGAAGGAGGTAGGAAAGAAATGGAGAAAGGAAACAAGAAGTAGGAGAGAAGAGGAAGAGAAGCCACCAAATGAATGACTCTCTGTCCATTTGTCCGTCAGGAACACTGTCCACTGGCTTGGGGAAACGTGAATCTCTTCGACTATAAGGACATTCTGGTTTCAGGGAAAGTGGCGCTAAGTTTATGGCCCGTGCCTCACGGCCTCGAAGACTTGCTGAACCCTATCGGGGTGGCCGGTTCCAATCCTAACAAGGTAAGCCACCCTGGGGGTTTTGCGTCTGGTCTGGCCCCCGAGATCAGCTCTCCTAATTGGTTGTTCCTGATCGCTAGGAATCTCCCTGTGTCGAACTCGAGTTCTCCTGGTTCAACCAGCCGGTTGTTTTTCCAGACGAGCAGCAAATTGAAGAACACGCCAACTGGACCATCAGCAGGGAACTGGGTTTCAACTACACGCATGGCCTGGTAACACACACACACACACACACACACCACCCACACACACACACACACACACACACACACACACACACACACACACACACACACACACGGCCTGGCTCCCAGACAAACAAAAAGCCTGTCTCACTGTGTAGAACAGTCGCCTGGCGTGTGACAGCAGTGTTTCAGCAGCAGACGCTGAGCAGCTTCGGTGCCTTTGCTCCAAAGATCCCCTCTATGAACTCTCGGAACAAGAGAAGGACTTCCTGTGGAGACACAGGTGAGGACCAAATTCCCACGCATGCAAGCAAGGGTCTACTCTTTATCTTGTGTGTGTGTGTGTGTGTGTGTGTGTGTGTGTGTGTGTGTGTGTGTGTGTGTGTGTGTGTGTGTATGTGTCGCTGTTTTGCAGGCATTACTGTGTCAATATCCCAGAGTCTCTTCCCAAGCTCCTTCTTTCTGTCAAATGGAATTCCAGAGATGAAGTATCTCAGGTAGGTGATGTACAACCAAATTCCAAAGGTTGGTAGGAAATAAGGCATACATGTACAAGTCATAATTAAAGTAAATTTTAACCTTCCAAGTTTCAAGCACGTCACATTCCGCACCAAATCTCAAACACGTCAAGTGACTTTTGGGTTAAAAGCAAGTCATAGGTCAGGTCATATAATCTTGCTCAGTGACATCTGTGTCATGTACTGTTCAAGTTAAGTCCCATAAATACAAAGAAAGTCGTGCAATCCACTATTAAATGTACAAAAATAACCCACACTAAAATTAGTTACATAAAGTCCATTATGAATTTTTCCACTCGAGGCACAATTGGGATGACTGAACTGAGTGCCCCACTTCCCCCAAATTTCTCTTGAACTCATTGCTTATTTATCTGCCCAACTCCTCTTGCCAGATGTACTGCCTTTTGAAGGAGTGGCCTCTGATGGAGTCCGAGTCAGCTCTGGAGTTACTGGACTGCAACTTTCCTGACCCGATGGTGAGAGAGTTTGCGCTGCGCTGCCTGGTCCAGAGTCTGACGGACGACAAGCTCTCCCAGTACCTACTGCAGCTCGTACAGGTTCGCTACTCACCTGGAGGCAGAGGTGTGCAAATCTGGGTCCAGAGAGTAAAAACCCTGCCACAGTTTGGCTTTCGTCACACGTGCTTCGTCTCAAGAGCTTGTTTACCTGCCGTTTGAGTTGAAGCACCTGTGGTGAAACGTAAACTGTGGCGGAGTTTTTACTATCTGTGCCTGGACTTGCCATCTCTGTCCTCAGGGAAAGGTACGCCACCCTGGCACACAAGCGGAAATATATTTGTAATACGTGTTCAGGTGTTGAAGTATGAGATGTACCTGGACAACCCGCTGGCCCGTTTCCTGATCAAGAAAGCCTTGACCAATCAGAGGATCGGACACTTCTTCTTCTGGCATCTCAAGTGAGCAAAACGGTCAGAGGTTGGTGACTTGAGAGGCCGACGGGCGGAATTGACATTGGCGTGTTGCCGTCATCAGGTCAGAGATGCACAATAAGACGGTGTCGCGTCGCTTTGGCTTGCTGCTGGAAGCCTTCTGCAGAGCATGTGGCATGTACCTCAAACACCTGAACCGACAGGTGAGGGGAGACCCCTTCTGTCCGTTATTCGGTCCTTGATTGGTTGAACCTTGGGATCTATGCATGCGTGCATGCAGGTGGAGGCCATGGATAAACTGGTGAACCTCACGGATACGCTGAAACAGGAAAAGAAAGACGAGACGCAGAAAGTAAGGAACGGAAGCGTGGAGCCACGCACCCGAGTCTGACTTGTTCCATAATCCCATGCGGTGATTGCTTCTTTAGACTCAGATGAAGTTCCTGGTGGAGCACATGTCCCGTCCAGATTACATGGAAGCTCTGCAGGGATTCGTCTCTCCTTTGAACCCCGTGCACCAGCTGGGACACCTCAGGTGATACTCCCTCCACCAATGCTGCTGCTATGCAATGCAGAAGTGGGACATTTAGCGTGAGTCAGACCTGAGCTGCCAATTTGAAAAATTGGGACTTGCTTGACTAAAATTTTTGGGTAGATTCCGTTAGACTTTGTGGGTGTTTATTTATGATTTGCTCCTACCTGCGAGTGAAACTCGACCTGTGTGGCCAGGCTGGAGGAGTGCAGGATAATGTCGTCAGCAAAGCGTCCACTGTGGCTGAACTGGGAGAACCCCGACATCATGTCGGAGCTGCTTTTCACCAACAACGAGATCATCTTCAAGAATGGCGACGGTAGCATGTGTTGCACGGGATGGCGGGTCATGTGACTCCCGTGTAACCAACTCGTGTTTGAGTGTTTTCCAGATCTACGGCAGGACATGCTGACGCTACAGATCATCAAGATTATGGAGAATATCTGGCAGAACCAAGGCCTGGACCTGCGGTGAGACATCACCGAAAATGACAAACACTCATGACGGAGGACTCACACTTTGTGTACGTTGGTCTCAGCATGCTCCCCTATGGATGCCTGTCCATCGGCGACTGTGTTGGTCTCATCGAGGTGGTCAAGAGCAGTTTCACCATCATGCAGATTCAGTGCAAAGGAGGCCTGAAGGGGGCGCTGCAGTTCAACTCCAACACTTTACATCACTGGATTAAAGACAAGAACCGTGGAGAGGCGTCAGTATCTGTTTGCTTGTGTGTCTGTCAGCATAAATTAGTTTCCACACCATGAGTAGACAGGATCCAAACGAGAAATCTATAATATCACTCGGCCGCAATCGGTGAACTGCAATTTAGTGGGGCAACCGGACGGGGATCCAAGATGTTATAAACAAGTGTGACCTCACTCTTTCAGATATGACCGTGCCATCGACTTGTTTACCAGGTCGTGCGCTGGCTACTGCGTGGCCACGTTCATTCTGGGAATTGGCGACCGCCACAATTCCAACATCATGGTGAAAGAGAACGGACAGGTGAGTCCTCCTCCCGCCCGCTATCCCCTCCCCCAGTCTCTGACCTATTGCTGTCCTGCAGCTCTTCCACATCGACTTCGGTCACTTCCTGGACCACAAGAAAAAGAAGTTCGGCTACAAGCGGGAGCGGGTCCCCTTTGTCCTTACGCAGGACTTCCTGATCGTCATCAGCAAAGGAGTCCAGGAGTCAACCAAGACAAAAGAGTTTGACAGGTAGTCTTGTATTTTTGCCGCCCGTCTGTGTGTCCAAGGACGTTGCTCACCCACCCGTCTCACCGACAGGTTCCAGGAGATGTGCTATAAGGCCTACCTGGCCATTCGCCAGCACGCCAGCCTCTTCATCAACTTGTTCTCTCTGCTGCTCGGATGCGGGATGCCTGAACTGCAGAGCTTCGACGACATTGCCTACCTGAGGAAAACCCTGGCACTGGGTAAACACGCACACACACACAGACACACATTAAAAAACAATACCCCAAAAAACAGTCCAAGCATCTGGCAAATGCTTTGGCATCTATCCAATAGCTCATATTTTTCATCTTGAGGCCCATGTACAGGTTCACTCTTTCTCCTCACTGGTAAGACAATTCAGCGCACCATTCGGTAAATAAATGCACGAATCGCTTCATGGCAAGCCGTTTGAGGGCATATGAGGACATTGACCTCAAGACGGATATCAAGGATATAGATGAAAAGCTCAAACGGCTTGGTACAAAGGCATCTAATGAAGTTTTTTTTTGTGGGGGGGGGGGGGGGGACAGAGAAAAGCCAGCAGGAGGCGTTGGAGTACTTCAGCAAACAGATGAATGACGCCCATCATGGAGGCTGGAGCACCAAGATGGACTGGATCTTCCACACTATCCGACACATGCCCAATGAGCACTAGCTAACAAACGCACACGCACTACAACGTTGTAACAGCAACGCCAATCTCAGGGTTGCGGGTCCGAGAATGCCAAAGGCGTCGTCCCCTTTTTTCGGTGCTAATGTTAAGCCAGTGAGCTGCTGTTGTAGCATGCATTTGAAACAAACTTTATTGACCAGCTGCTGTGAAGACAAAAAAAAAAAAAAAGCAATAAAAACTTTGAGACAATCAGCCCGAGCCAATTTAGGGGGTGGGGGACTTTATTAGCAGGGGACAGACTAGAAACACCTTTGAAATTTGGGGTTAAACCTATGAATTCTCGCATCAACAGCAGCATAACTGGTGAATGATGAAGAATGATTGGTTGTTGATGCAATCACTGTTTATTGATTGAGTCCACTGCGTGTATAGTGATGTTTGCACTGTGTGACAGTACTTTGCTAAAACGAGGTGTGACTTTTGCGAAAGAAATCAATGAAATAAATGATTTCAAGAAGACGTTCTCAATGGTTGCGTCACTTATTTCATTTCGATATGGTTTGCTTTGTCACCATCTTGTGGTTTATCTTATTATTACAAACATTTTCAACCCACAGAAGTATCTGAGGCTTACTCATACCTCACCTTTTGGCACAAAGTCCACAAAATAAATCTAATTCACGAAGCAATGGTACACAAGTAAAAATAAAAATTGGGACCCTCAAAGTCAGTGGGCACAAAATTTGACTTTTAGCTTGGCACTGATGTTTTAAAGTGCAAAATATAGTTTGTCTTCCTTTTGGGGAGAGTGAAACATCAAGTTTGTGTTTCAGACCGCTTAACGATGCGGTGAAGGCTTGCAAGTGTTAGGGAACGTGGCATATGTTTTTTTTTCGTCAGGGTTAGAGTTCAAGGTTGCAAAGACCTTCTCCAGACATCCAGCTTTAATGGTCACAAATAATTTTTCTTGTCACCATTAAATTTTGAACATTTTACTTTTAGAACTATTTGCGAATGTCTGCCGAAGGTCTTTGGAACCTTGAACAAAACCTGGGAGAAAAACAAAAAACAAAAACAAGGCCATGTGCAAACACTGGCAAACCTTTGCTCTGCAGTGAGATACGGCCATTAGGAAAATGCAATACAGTTTGTCGTCATCTTAGAAAAAGACAAGGACAACTGCAAGTTTGAACAGTATGAATTGTGCTATGAACTGGTGACATCTGGGTTGCATTTTCAGGAAAAAGGAGAAATTATGACATTAAAATAGTGATTCCCAACCCACTGACACGCTTGAGTGCACCGCAGGAAATGATCCAATTTCAATTGTTTATTGACTACAAATAACGTAGCTTCAGTTCATCTATGCGTGTGATGAATAGCAGCAGGGAGGACGCCGCAGGTGTCATTGATCTTTTGCTATGTATACAACAGAATAAGACTTGATTTGTTATTGTGGCAGTTTTATTGCGTAAAATATGTGCCATGGCTCAATTAGGTTGGGAAACACTGCAATAAACCTCCACCATGACTTTTCACCAAGAATACCGCTACTCACCAATCCGTCGTCCAGCACGTGACACCTGCTATAACAAAAAGAAAAAAAAAAACCCCAACAACAACAGATGTGTGCGTTTTCCTCTCTTGTTTTATTATAAAAGTTGTTTCTACATTGACTGTGAACAAAAACAAACAAATAAAAGCATGACAATGAATAGTCCAGGGTCTCCATGGCAACATACAGGTAAGCATGGCTGAGGGGAGGGGGCTGGTGTTGGGGTAACCATGGCAACAGTGGTGGTTGTGGGGAGGGGTCTCTATTATCACCGTCCTCGGACCTCACCTTACCTACACACACACACGCACACGCACTAAATCACTCATCCAGAGTGTGTTTATGTCACATCTGGAACCCACCACACAGGAAGCAAGGTGCTTTGAGAACTCAAGTAATTACAATTTTTAAAAGGCATCAGCCCATTGGGGGGGTGGCTGTCACCGTGGCAAGACAAGTGTCTCTGATTGGCTGTAACTGAGCCTCCTGTGAAGCTCCGCCCCTGCCACTTTATAAGCCAATCAGCAGCTTGGAGACGTATTTGTCTTAAAAAGAAAAAGCAAAATGTTTGAACGGCTTGACTTGACCCCTCCTCTCTCACACGCACACACACACACGCACACACACATACATACAACCGTGGGTCCCTACTCGTCATCATCATCCTCTTCATCATCATCCTCGCCTTCGTCATCCTCCTCTTCCTCACCACCCTGAGCGGATGAACCGGGGTTCCTGGCATATGACACGCCACCCCGATACGCTACCATATCCTGGGAGGACAGGAAGCACAGAGAAGTCTTCAAACCTTGCTATATGCTTTCAACACAAACAAATTAAAACACTCTCTTTCAACACACAGCAAACATATCGGAACATAAAAAGCGCTAAAATAAAATACGTTGACATTATCAGTGTTGATAAGTGTTTTGAATACCCCAAGATGGCAGTAATGACTAAGTCACCGTGTTCCATAGCTGGCTGTCATGTCAATATTACAGCGGGGTAATTAAGTCCTCCCCAAAGCATATTCAGAAGTTTGATCTTCTGAATGTTTAGGATTTTCCTCTGGCAATTAAGCTTACAACTACAAACCTTCAGGGACCATTGTAGGGCTTAAAAACTGAGTAAGATTGTTTAATTTGACAGAAAGTGACATTAGCGGCAGCAAAACAGAGGCCAAGAAAATATCTGTCTCTCTCCATTATTTTATAGAACTTTTTACTGCATTTTAATCAATTTTTAATTAATTTTTTCAATATTTAACGGTATTTATATTAGCGCACAAAGCTAAAAACTGTAGATTTCCATGACAGACAAGTAAATACGTTCCACAAAAAGAATCTGCTATATAGTGGGTCAGTAGTATAAGGGGTGGAGGGGTAGTGGGGAACAATGTTGATGTGCGACACACTAGTGTGTGCGTTTCCTCACCCGGTCATATTTCTCCCGGAGTTTCTGCGCCTTCTCCTCGTACGGCAGCTTGTCAGACTGTGATAACTTGCTCCACATCTCACCCAGCTTCTTGGCGCAATCGCCTATGGAGAGCCCGGGGTACTGCTGCTTCACGCTGGGACGGTACTCACTGCAGAACACGAAGAACGCCGACCTACGAGACAAGCATGGCTGTGAGTTCAAAATGGGTGTCGCCCTCTGGTGGAGGGAAGGCGCCAATTTCAACCCGCAGGTTCTCCTCAGAGGAATTTGACTTACGGTGGCCGCTTGGGTGCGTTGGGGTCTTTCCTCTTGCGCCCCCTCTTTCCAAAGCCTTTGGGTGGGACGTAATCTCTCATCTCCCTGTTGTAACGCACTTTGTCGGCCTTGGCCATGTCCTCAAAACACTTCTTATCACTGGGAGACAAACCCTAACGAGAGACAAACGTTGACTGAATGAACCCCACATCCTCATACCCCCCCACCCCCCACTGCGTCCTTGCCCCTTATCGCGGATCTCACCTTCCATCGCTCTGAACACTTCTTGGAGAACTCGGCAAAGTTCACTGACTGCTCCGGGTTCTTCTTGCGATGTTCCTCTCGACACGTCTGCACGAAGAAAGCGTACGCAGACGTCTTCCCCTTGGGCTTGTTCACGTCCTTTCGCATCATGGTGGCGGCCTGAGATGTGTGAGATGTGACACAGATGTTCACCATATATACAGTGCGCATGTGCCTGTGTCATATATATATATATATATATATATATATATATATATGTTATTTGTGTGTGCGCGCGCGCTACTACTGACAAATAGCACTTTTTATGGTGCTTACCACCAGATTCAGACATTTTCACCTCAAGAAATGATGATGATATGGATACTTTCAATTATGTTGCTTGTCTTTTGACAAAGCCAAGACACTGATTACCACCAAAGTCCCATCAACCCGCTATTTATTTATCCATTTATTACCTATACCAGTTGTGCTCATTAGGGTGAGGTGCAGCCTACATTTTTTTTTTGCATTTTCCCTCTGGTAAGCTAACTCACTATTTTTATTTTATTTTTTTCCCATCCCACCAGATGACCTTGGATCAAGAGGGTTAGTATGCCCTGGACTGGTCGCCGGCCAATCACAAGGCACATTTCTAAAAAAAAATTATCCAAATGTAACAATTTTTTATGATAAAAAAAATACATTTTGTAGGAACAATAACATTGTTTGCATAGGGGTGGAGTTGCTCTTTACTTTCAAACAAGCGTCATGTAAACGCTCGACTGGGGGGCAAATAACGGCCCATCCTTCGGCTACTAACAAAGAACTGATGGGCATCCATTTTCTCCTCAGTCGGGGTTCTCGGGGACACGACGTGACATTCCGGGATGTGTCTCGGGAGATGGGATGAAGTGCCGCGGCCGCGAGCCACTCGGAGTCGGGGGAGGAAAAGAAGACGCATCAGGGGTTGGATGGGTGAATGGATGGTGGGCAAGCAGTTAGCAACGGTTAGCTTAGCCTGGCTACCAGAACAATGAGCCACCATTTGCTTCCCGCCCTCTGCGGAACGAGCCTCCCATCCCCCTACGAGACGTCACAACGGGGCCGTTTTGGAGCACAAAGGGGCCCGGAGAAGAGCGCATTAATGTCCGACTTTCCGTCGCTTATCCGAGCGACACTTTAGTGTTCGCAATGGAAATAAATTCCCCAGTGCCACACTGCTCCGCATTTTCTATCACGGGGCTACGGCTATGCTCCGGAGAGTAGCGGAGCACGGGGCGGCGTAGACTATTTCCTGGCGTTCGAAGTGCCTCAAAATGGGCGTTTCTTGGTCACCACAGCGCGACTCGAAGAGTCACTGGAGGGCACGCACGTAAAACGACAGCAGCAGAGGCACACTTTGAGCCCCACCGCGGTACATTTATGCCCTTTTTATGGTCGGGGTGATTGGAGCGCTCTGCCTCAAGCTTTTGCAAACCCACGTCCTATACAAGATGGCCGGCTGTACTCACTCGTTAGGAGGGCCGACGGCAGGTTGAAGCACACTCGGGATCGGGGCTTCTGTTTATTTTTGTTCTTTTTTGTTGACAAGTAGGCTAATTGTTGACGTCTGGTGGCTGAAGCGAAGACTGGACAGTCCGTTCACTTTCAAACTGGGTCGAGCTGAGGACCGCTCCCGCCCCCAGAACACGCCCCCCACGTCGTCTTCCAAATCAGTGGGGCGGAGGGAAGGATGCGCCGTTGGTGGGGCTTGGGGGAATAATCGCATTTGAATGGCTGCATTTTTGACGCGGGGCGGAAATTCTCGTTTTGACTAGGCGGGGCGAGTTAATAGTGGAGTGCGATTGGTCGTAGGCAATGTCAGTCAAAGCATGACGTCGGCGTCACATTACGTCGTTTTGTTTGGTAAAATGGCGCCGATAGAAATATTTGCTCTTGTAGCTTTATCGCTGCTTTTATAAACATCGTTATATTCATCGTACACTAACTGGAGGAAATACGAAACTACATATACGATAAAGTAAAACAGCAAGGCAAACAATACAACTACACTAATGTAGTTATATTCAATCCAGGTTTACTACCCCACATGCACAGTCTTGGCAAACAAACTGCATTAAAATCAATCCATCCACTTTCTCATCTGCTTCTCTTAACTCGGGTGGCGGATCAGCTAAGGCCTTCCTCACCTGACTTTGGGCCAGAGGTGGGATACACCCTGAACTGGTCGCCAGCCAATCGCAGGGCACTCCATGCAATCATCATACATGTTACGGACTTCTTAAGGGGGACGGGGCTAACCAGCCAACTACCATGCTACCCATTTTAAATTTATTCATATCTATAATTCTGTCGTACTGATTCTCAAGTAGTGGCACAGTGTTTGACTTCTTAGCATGTCTGTCTCATAGTGCAGAGGTGCAGGGCTCGATTCTGGCTCCGGCCTACCTGTGTGGAGTTTGCATGTTCTCCCCGGGCCTGGATGGGTTTTCTCCAGGTACTCCAGTTTCCTCCCACATTCCAAAAACATGCATGGCAGGCTAATGGAACACTCTAAATTGTCCCGAGGTGTGAGTATGTGAGCGGATGGTTGTTCGTCTATGTGTGTTCAGTGATTGGCTGGCAACCAGTCCACGGTAGTCCCCGCTTACTGCGCGAAGACTGCTGGGATAGGCTCCCAGCATGCCCGCGACCATTGTGAGAATAAAAGGGTTAGCATATGGATTGATGGATGGATGATTCACAAGTGTGGTATCAGTACCCAATGATACACAGACTCTCGTGGAATGACAAAAATCACTGAAATAAATACAATTAACAACATTTTTAAAATGCAATAAAATCAGAATGAAGCTTGTCACAGTATATTTTTTTATTTTTCAAGAAATGTACATTCATCAAGTACAGTTCAGTTGTATTTTCGTACAGTGTAATGCATTTGCAATAGATTTTTACGAACATTTTTTAATTAAACTTTTTATATGATTTTGTACAATCCATATCAACATTTAATTTTTTTTCTTTTACAGCATTAAAGCACAGTGCTGCTAATATTCTGTACTTTACAGTGGCGGAAAGTGATAAAAGATACATTTTAGGCATAAAAATTGCATAGGTTTTGATGAACCTTTAGGCACCTGTGTTTTCGTGTTGGTGATGGTGATGTTTGCACAGATAAATATTAATTTATCTAAGGTTGTATTATGCTAAGAATATGGAACGATTACTTTTTGTGGTTTATCTTTACCTAATATGAATAAAAAATGTAATCATTTCAGGCATAAGGGCAAAACGGCTTAAAAATGTCACGCAACCTGACGTATGCTCAGTGGAGTGAACAAAGAGGGAGCAATGCGTCATGTTTGAGCCTCAGCAGCTGCCATAGTCGTCCAGGAAGCGCGATGTTTATACTACCGACGATCCTCGGCGCACTTATTTAAATTTCTTTGTTTTTATAAAACAATTATACAATTTATGGATGACATGGACCCCGTGCAGCTGTTCAGGGATCAGTTTAATCCGCAGACTGAAGCCGTCAGTATCACCAAGTCTCAGCATTAAAAAGTGTATTTTGTGCTTGTGAATATTGACGTACATCCCACTTTTTTCATTCTCTGGGCATTGACTCGATCAAAATTAGACCTTTCCGACTCTCACGATCAATCGTTTTGA